GGGAGCCACTGATGGTCCTGGTGTGGGAATGGCCCTCAAAGCAGGTCCCCAACGTCAGTGGGGATGTGTGCCATGAGCTGTACGGCATTGCAGGCTGCCGGCTCACCATGAAGAAGCAGCTCCTGCACCATGCCAACGTGGTGGTGTTCCCTCACAACAGGCTCCAGCCTGGCCGGGATAGGCTGCCCAAGGAGAGGCCACCAGGGCAGAACTGGGTGTGGGTCTCCCTGGAGTCCCCCTCCAACACTAGAGCTCTAGCAGGGTGGAACCAGACCTTCAACTGGGTGATGACCTACAGACAGGACTCAGACATCTTCATCCCCTATGGCAAGCTTGTGCCCAACCAGTCAGCCACCATGAACATCCCTGCAAAGACCAACTTGGTGTCCTGGGTTGTTAGCAACTATCGCAGGACTCAGAAAAGGGCTGAAGTCTACAAAAACCTCTCCAGGTATCTCCAGGTGAATGTATATGGGAAAGCAAATAACAAGCCCCTCTGCAAGGAATGCCTCTTGCCAACAACATCCAAGTCCAAGTTCTACCTGGCCTTTGAGAACTCCATCCACCAGGACTACATCACGGAGAAGCTCTGGAGAAACTCACTGCTGGCTGGTACTGTGCCTGTGGTGCTGGGACCACCACGGGTCAACTACGAGCAGTTCATTCCCACAGACTCCTTCATCCATGTTGATGACTTCAGCTCCCTGGAGGAGCTGGCCACCTTCCTGAAGACCATGAACTCCAGCCGCTACCAGCAGTTCTTTGCTTGGCAGAGGAGATTCAGTGTGAAGCTCTACACAGACTGGAGGGAGCGGTTCTGCACCATCTGCACTGCCTACCCCCACCTGCCCCGCGGCCACCTCTACCCCGACCTGCAGAGCTGGTTCAATTCCTAGTGCGTGCTGGGACCATTGGGATGCATCCACAAGGAGGATACAGGGGTGGGAGGTGTGTGGGGCACCCATCTGTGGACCGGGATGTGGGGTGTAGAGAGACAGGAGCCTCCACTGTCCTCACAACCCAGCTGTTGCCACACTGGGACCTTGAGCAACAATCTGTGACTTAATTTCTTGCAAAGCGGGACTAACTCCCCAAGCTGACACTGACTACCTTGCCAGGGTAATGGCAGGACCAGAGGGTGCTTTGGAAATAAATAGCAGTGCTGCTGAGGCTTGTGGCTGTGGTGTGGGGGGGTGGACAGGACAAGGGGGCTGACAGGCAGCTCAGGGCTCCCCAACCTTCTTCTGTGATCCCATGTCCCACCAACACCTTTTGCTGGGTGCTGAAGCAGAGGCCCCAGGGTGACATTTATGGCTGGGGGGGGGGATGCTTGGACAGTTCTAGCAGCCCCAGCACCCCACAGCCAGGGAAGGAGCAGAGCCTATGCTCCCCCACTTCCCCTCCTGCCCTGTGCCAGGGGGTGTCACCATGCTGGCAAGGAGCCGCAGGACAGCAGATGCTGAGAGCAATCTCAGTGCTGTCTAGGCAAAGGGACACTGTGATTTGTCACTCCCTCCCTGCCCAGTGAACTGGTGGCATCTGGAGCCTCACATGAGTCCAGAGCAAAGCTAGGCCCTTGGGCACCCTGTGCATGTACACACTGCACCATGGGCATCCTGCAGAAACCACCTCACATCATGGGCACCCTGCACCATACACACCCCCTGCACTGTGAGCACTCTGAGGGGAAGCACCCATCTGGGATCAGTAGTGCTATCAGCATTGGGTGACAGGACCATAAGGTGAGACACAACTGCTCCATCTGTGCCTTGCTCTGTCCCTCTCTGCCCAGTGCCATCAACCAACCCCCTTGATATAAAAACCACCTTTTGTAGCAGGTTTCCCCGTTTTCCACCCAGCAGCTCCCAAGTCACCCAACGCCAGTCCCTGCCACCCTGCAAGCTGCCAGGTGCCCACCAGCACCCGAGGTCCCCCTCAGTAGAGGGGACATCCCTGCCCCAGCACAGCCCCAGCGGGGTTGGACAGGCATGCTGTGGTCTTCTGACTTCTGTGGCTTCCAATTTCCGCTGTGTTTTGTTTTCTGGGTCAACTAAATGTGGAGCAGGAAGGGCTGTGGGTGCCCACAGGCAAGGTGCCAGGGTAGCAGGATGTGGGGGTCCCACCTGGCTGGGAGTGGAAATTCAGATGGTGGAAATGTGACAACCAAAGCTCAGGGAGGTGACATCCTTCACAGACTTCTGCTTCTGACCCTGCTCCTGCACCCCCAAAGTGCCAGGCAGCACCGAGCAGCAGTGATGGGGGGCAGTTTCCAGTGGGTGCCATGCCTGGCTGCGCCCCCACCCTGTGGGCAGGCAGGGATGTGGCACAGGGGAGCAATCCAAGAGGGTCCTGCCCCATGGGACTGGCACCAAGCCCAGCCCTTTGCAGGGTCCCAAGGTGCCCTATGAGCAGCTGCCTGTGGTGCCCTTACCCCAGGCAGTCCCGGAGAGCAAACCCTCAGCTACTGGCCACTGAACTGCAGACAGG